GGGGGGGGGTGTAAAACCGGCCCGAAGAATAGCCCAACGTACCCAGTCGCGATACTGTAGAGACATAGACAACTCGCGCAGGCTGACCATGCGTCCGCTCGTCATGTAGAGGAGCATCTCCGTGGTGGCGGTCCAGTTGAGCCATCGGAAACTCTCGGGCAGGTTGCCGTGGGGGGCCTTGTATTCAGAGCTGTCGAGGAGGACCTTGCGAAGACTAGAGCGGTGGCGTTTGATGGCGCCCTTGAAGATTTGCGAGATGGTCACAGCCGGAGGTACAGACCGCCGCCTGTCTTGGAGGAAAAAGACTTCAAGACTGTTCTGTTCCAGGGTATCTTTGATAAAGTTGATGAGAGGCAGTGATGCCATGTCCGTGTGGATCTTCTTCACGTTGAGATGGTATTGTACTCGAGTCAGCGCCGAGGGCTTGGGAGAGCTGCCGTTTTCGTGACCTGACGTCACTGGAGGCGTCGGCTGGAATTGCTTGCGGAGAACCTTCCACAGGGTCTCGTGTTGAGCGCACTCCAAAATGGTCAAGCTCGTGAGGACAGTCCAGTCGATTGCCTTTGTACAGACCTGGATCGATAGGGGCACGCGCTCCAATTCCAGTGTTTTGAGCTTCAGCTTGCCATCGAGTCGTGTTCGTATTGTCTGGTCGTCATTCGACCGTTGCAACTGCTCACGATGCGGTGCTGTAGAGATTCGGGGTCCAAGGTCAGCCGTCGAGTCTGTTCCAGGAACGTGGTCAACAGGCGAAGGGCTCGCAAGGTTCATGTCTGCTGCTTCGTCGACTGCGGACACTGGGCTTGGTTCGTCTCCCTGGACAGCGACTTCTTGGTGAGGGTCAGTGGGCGCGGCATCATCGCCAAAGACTGTAGCAGCGTCGGGCGCCGGCGAAACAGCTTCGAGACTGGCCGGCGCGAGGGCGCTTTTGACCCTGGATCTGGATGCAGACTTTCTGCGAATGTCGTAGAGCTTGCCTACCAGCACCCCCAGGACGCCGCCCAACCTGCGATCGCCGATGGTGCTCTCGCCGGGCCATCGCGCATTGTGGTCGACCTGGTGCAAGCCCGGGCCATCCCACGTCTGGACAAAGTCGGAGTGTGCCGCCTTGGCGGAGATGCCCACGCGCAGCTCCTCCAGGTTCTCGTGCGAGTTCCCGATGGCAACAGCGAGCTCGTCGAGATAAGAGAGCTCATCGATGTCAAGAACAGACAGACTCCTCAGCGGTGGCAGGACACTGAATGTCGGAAACTCGACGCGGCTTTCGGCGAAAGGGATAGGCGCTCTGGGGCGAGGATGCGACGCCGTCGACGGAATGAGAATGCCGATGGGCGTCAAGGTACTGCCGATGGGCACGACGCCCTGTGTCTCTATGGACGAGCTGGGGCTGGTCGAGGACGAGGAGGCCGACGCATCGGCGTTGTCGTGCCAGCGCACCCAGACGCGCTCGAGCTTGGACTGCTCATCCGGATCGCGGTCTTGAATGGAGGCCAAGGCCATGAAGATGTCGGAGAGGACGCCGGTGGGCATGTCCCAGACAAAGGTCTCGAGGCTTGCCATCTTGGCGACGGCCAGGGCGACGAGGGTTCCTAGCATTTTGCCGCTCTCCTTTGTAATCATGTACTCGGCGACCCAGTCATCGGGGCCGTTGCCCAAGGAGAACTTTTTGATGTATCGAGCGTAGTCGTTGTGCAGGCGTGCCATGGGAGGCGACCCGCCCCTGCGCTTCGGCGAGAACATCTTCTGGGCGCGCACAGCAAAGTTGCTGCCCAGACAGAGGGTTGATAAGCCATAGGTGAGGGCATCGACGCTTTTGGAATCAGATTGGGCAAGCTGGGTGGCGTCAGGCCACACGATATCGAAGCGAGAGTAGATGTGTGGAACGGCGAGATTGTGAAGGGTCGAATTCGTCAAGGCGAGGGAGGTCAGGTCGTTTGTATGTGTGATCTGGGGAAACGAATGCGAGCGTCAGCAAACACGGCGCTGCATGTTGCGTTGGGAAAGCGGTTTTGTTTTGGGAAAAGGCAAGGCGGCGGCAGAGAGCATGGGGGAGACGGGCAGCGACATACCTCGTTGACGATCAGCCGCAATATGTCAAAGGGGAGCTCGAGCAGGGTTAATCGACCGGTGCGCCTCGAGACGGCACTCCACTCCTCTTCTTTGCCTTTGAGCAGCTTGCGCAGGGCCATGGCGGCATCTTCTGTGTGATTTGGCGGGAGCTGGCCGTCGGCCTGGGAGGGTGGGCGTTGCTCGTCGGGTGCCGTTGGTGGTACGACATCGGTCGTGTGTAACAGTGATGACGGGTCGTGGGCCGGTGGCTGATCGGGGCACTGGGAAGACGTCGCCGTGGCCATCATGGGTGGACGGGAGCTCATGCTCTTGGATCAATTGCGGAGGGCAGCACGATTGGGGACTTTGGTCGAAGGGGAAAGGTCCCCAGGAGAGAAGAAGTTGGCGATGCAGAGTGAAGCTCTCGTCGTCTTTCGGGGGAGGGAGGAGGAGGAAGGGTATACGGCGGCGACGGGCGGGATGAACCAGAATACGTGATGCAGAAGAAGAAAGCTGTGGTTGTGATTGTAGGTTGACTGTCCTTGTCCGTCCGACGCGGGCTGGAAAGACGAGGATCAAGCAGGCGATGATGATAGACTCGCAGGTTCAGGTCGGAAGGCAAGAGAGAGAGTGAGAGGGTTCGAGCTCGTGTTCGCGGTTGTGCTTGCGGTTGTGCTCGTGCTCGTGCTCGTGCTCGTGCTCGCGGCGGGCGAACCTTGTGGCTGGGGAAACAGGGCGTTCGGTTTGCTCGTCCTTCTCGAAATGGACGTTCAGTCACCTCAGGTTGAGATGGGTTGGGGTCAGGGAGCCCGGTCCCGTCATCGGGCGTGCCTTGTCTCGCAAGGGTGCGTGGTGCTTGGAGGTGCTTGGTGGTGCTTCCGGCCAATGTGCACAGCGTGCAGCATGCGACGTGCAGCGTGCAGTGCGTGCTGTTCCCGTTGCTGTCACTGTCGATGGTGCTGTTGCTGTTGAGGCTGCGACGGGGCCAGCAGAAGGCGCATCCAGAAGCGTCCAGACAGTTTGCGGTGGGCCACGGTGGGTCCACCCAAGGCCGGCACACCGAGACACTAAGGCGGCCGGGACACCTGCCTCCCAGGTAGCCCAGGTAGGGGTGCTATGCTGGGGTGCCACATTACGCCCCTCTCATTGGGTGCTGGGGGGTCAAGTGGACTCGTGCCAGGCCGTCTCCGGACGTCCCGCTTCTGCTGGCACGGGCTCACATGGGGGGATGCGACTCCACCCAAGAGCGTATTTAGCGGGGGGTTCAGCTTCCGGAGTGCTTTTCTCTTCAGCTGGAACCAGCACGATGGGTGTGAGACTGCCGAGCAGCGTGCCTAGGACTGACTCGACGACGACACGCAGGTACCGGTCTACTGGTCCTGTTTTCCGAGCTCCTTTGTCTGCCCGTTACCGAGATGCTCATCGCAGGAATGAATGGGACCATGGCACGAGAGAGCATGGCGAACCGACAGGTCTACCTTGCCTAAGTACATAGGTACATGTATAGCCCGACTGTACCAGCCTAGGTACCTTAGGTAAGGTAGGCAGGTCAGGAGGTAAGGTACCCGGTGGAAAGAAGACGACAGGTATCCACCGACCGCTCCCGTCGTCCCCAGCGTCCCAGTGCCCCAGCACCCCACCCCCTGGAATGAGCGCTGTGCCATGTCTTTTCAACGCGAGGTGCTGGCTGGAGAGTAGCCATGGATGCCCAGACGACGAAATGACAGACAAGACAGCCTTCAGCAGGACCTCATGATCATCACTCAATCTGAAGCTCCCCACACCGGCTCTCGTGACCATCTGGCCCTCCAGGACCCGGTGAGAGTAAGCCGGCGCAAGCCTCACCTTCAGAGTTCGATGTTCGTTTCAGGATCGACAGCCAAGTCGCGACGCAGCCGAAGCGCCATGCTCAGATGAACCCGATCAGCGAAAGCTGCCAAGAACATATGACTGGATGCATGCCACCAAGACGTCCTCCATGAACACGGATCCTTTTGCCCACTGGACATGGCATGGACATGCACTGTTGGCGTTGGGCACGTTGCCAACATGGAGTCGCAAAGAGGCCTCGCCTCACACTTGAGCCGGCATCGAGGCCTGTATTGGGCCGGCGCCATGACCGTGAGCGACTGCTCCGTCATCAGAGCGGTACGTACCCGCCCTATAGGCAGCGTGCCGTGGGCAGGGGATCGGGCGGCGCGTGCATCATCAGGTGCCAGGCGACTACCAGCCCCTCCATCTCTGCCTCCTCTGCCTCTGATGCCCTCAATCGCACCCGCCACGACTCTCAACACACAAACTGTCCTCCACGTCACTGTCAGTCGAACCGACCTGCTGGCCTATTCTCAACCGAGCCAAGCTTGACTCCCACGCCGTCTCGTTACCAGCTCGAACCACGTTGCTGTCGCCCTCGATCCACCCATATATATATATACCTTGGGCAGCAAAAACCAGGCAGCCTTGCGCATAGCATCGCATCGCATCGCATTTGCATCTGTCGCGCACGACAACCTCTGCCCCTCTTCTCCCTTTTGCGAATCTCCCGCAACCCCCCCCGGACGCAGCGAGCCACGAAGAACCCCTCTACACAGCAATACCGTCGACGAAAACGATTAGACCACGTAGCACGCAGCGACCAACTCATCCCACCGACAAACGCCCCGCCGCCCAGCTCCTTGCTTCCCGACAGACACCCAACCTCCTTGTCGCTGTCGCTTTGTCGCTCAGTATCCACGTCCCAAGCCGCCCATCATGGCCTCCTTCGCAGAGAACCTCTGGAACTCAGTCTTCACCCCGGGCACAACACCAACCCTCCTGTACGCCACAAACGCCAGCTTCGCCGCCCTCCAGCTGACCCTCCTCGCCCTCCTCGCCGCCACCCGCTCCATCCACTTCGTCATCCTCTCCTTCCTCTGCGCCGGCCTCTGGCGCGCCATCAACTGGTTCGCCGCCGAGCTGGCCATCGCCCAGGCCCGCGAGGCCGCCGACAACGACAAGGCCGCCGCGGGCGGTGCCGGGCCCGGAGGAGCAGCCGATACCCCGGGCGGCGCCGGCGGCAGCAGCAGCAGCAGCGACGACGACACCGAGGTCGACACAGCCGTCGACCAGGCCGTGCGCACGCGCAAGACGGCCGGCAGCGCGAGCAGGGAAGTCGAGGTCGAGGGGTCTGCGGCTGGCGAGCTGAAGCAGAGATCCGCCGCTGCCGCCGCCGCTGGTGCTGCTTCCGGGCCGGCATCGGCAGCGGGGACGCAGTCGAGCGCGAGCACCGAGGACGAGTGGGAGAAGGTTTCGGAGAATGAGAACGAAAAGGATAAATAGATCCGACGCTTGTGGTGGAGAAAGAGAGAGAGAGAGAGAGAGAGAGATGCGCCCCATGGTGTCTTCCTCTCCTCCTCTCCTCCAACGCTTTCTGTCCCCCCCCCCCCCGTTGCGCAGCGCCTCGCCTTTTCGAGATACCCCCAACCAAAACACCCTCTGACGTCGGGTCGCTTCAACATACGGCGATGCGCGCTCCTCTTTCTCCTTCCTTTTCTTGTTTGCATGTTCCATGGTGGAGGCGGGAGCGTTTTTTTTCAGTGACCGCGACGAGAGTGTTTGGCGCTCCGACTTTTGGGAGGTAGAAAGGGGGAGACAGGAGGCAGGAAGCGGGCTACAGTACATATCGATATCAAGTCCACTCGTTTGGCGAGACAATGTCAAGAATTCATGCCATGGAAATTTCATCCACATTGGTTGCTTGGTTTTGCCCCCGAGATCTATCTAGCGACTCCCAACTCCGTGTATAGGTGGGTACAAGATTGTGGCATGCACACGGTTCCGTCCGTTTATAACCAGTGCTCATATTTGTAGTACATCTCACTCCATCTTTGCTTGGTGTCTGTCTCATGGCACCTTTGTCTTCACAGATATCTCAACCTCGACGTGGTGTATGCGGCGCCGACCGCAGAGATGGCGCCGATGAAGAGACATACGGCAATGGCGTTGGGGCCGTCAGTATCGTGATGCTCAGCGGGATCCGCCCCCTTGGCAAGCTCGGGGCTCTTGCCGGGCTCGAGGATCGTAAAGACGATGGTGCTGATAAAGGTACCAATAAATTGCGGCAGCGTTGAGTAGATGTTGAGGATACCGAAATAGATGCCCGACAGTTCGCCCGTTGACGATGAAGCGCCAGGCGTGTCGGACCCATGCTCCAGATGCAGAGCGTGGTCTGCGTTGATGGCTGGCAGCTCAATGTCATCGGCGTTGGACAGGCGGCGGTAGGCTGGGCCGCCAGCATCTGTGGCGCCGCTGAGCTTGTTGACCTCGACGCCGAGAAAGGTGACGGGCGCCCACATGGCAATGGTCCAAGGAAGTCCGCAGATGACGACGAGGAAAGTGGCAAATCGGAAACTGGCGGCGAAGGGAGCCATGAACATGGCGCTCGCAAACATGAGATGGCCGGCCATCCAGACGGTCATGAGGTCAGGTTTGCGCTTGCTGAACTTTTCTGCGAGGGTAGCCAGCCCTTGGGGCGGGCGTGCCGTATACTTCTCGTCGTCTGGCGACTTTGTGACCATGGGCAGGAGCCAGGCGCCGATAAGGGTGACGGTGGAGTAGATGACGAGGGCGGTGCTGCCGATGCGACCGACATCGCCGAGCATGTCTTTGGAGTTCTTTGCCTCCTCGGGCGCATCGTAGCGGAAATACGTCTCACCGACCCAGGTCGCGCTGTAGAAGAGGAAGGGGAACCAGCCGATCCACGCCCAGAACTGTGCCCAGCAGATGGCCTGGATACGTGGGGGCAGGTTAAGCAGCGTGGACCAGATCTGGCTGAAGACCTTGAAACGGCCGGCAGGCTTGCGAGAGTCTGGTCGGGTGGAGACGAGCACCCTCTCGGTAACCGCCCAGCAGGACACGCCCGAGGAGAAGAGTATGAAGAAGGTGGCGATCAGGGTCAGTTGCTTAAACTGCGTGTCTCCAAGCGTCGTCCCCAACATGCCTACGAGGTCGATAGCACCCGCTCCATATCCCATCATATGGCCCATGGCGGACATTCTGCTGGCTGCGCCGATTTAGCTACACGGCCAGTACTTGGCTTTAGAGGGGACGGATCACTTACACCATGCCGCACCGGCTTGTTGTTTCTCGATGGGTAGAGTGTCGACGATCAGGCTCCTGGCGCAGGACATGACTGGGCAACTGGTCAGCTCATACTGTCCTCGGGATGCGATGGGGTCGACTCACCCGCATTGATAGCAAAGTCGACGGCATAGATTGCCAGGACTGCAAGCGTTATCGTGAAGCCGCGGGCAGACTTCTCGTCAGCAACGAAAAAGCCCACAATTTCCTGGGTGAAGCCCAGAACGACCATGCTCAAGGCGGCAATAATCGAGCCCATGACGATGAAAGGACGCCGGCGACCCCATTTTGAGGTGGACTGATCAGCAATGACGCCAACGATAGGCTGAACAATGAGTCCCGACAGAGGCCCAGCAATCCACACAAGCGAAGTATTGCTCTTGGTGAGGCCAAGATTCAGGAGATATGGTGTGCAGTCTGGGTTCGCAAGGTCAACATGTGATCTGCCGAGGAGGGGCGCCAGGTTCGCGCGGTGCTTGCTACTCACAGGTCATCTCCACTCCCCATGTGAAGCTGTGGATGACGGGTCAATGCTAGCTGTCGCCACGGCACACAACCTGGGTTCCACCTACGTGATGCCGATGGCGTTGAAGGTCAGGAGAACCATGCGCATCGCCTCGGAACTCCCCCTGATATGGGGCTGCCCCGCCCATGTCGACATTTCTGCGAATGCCTCCTCGCGTATCGATCGATTGATTGTCGGCTCCCCGTCGATGACCTCGCCGGCGCGCCGGTCAATGTCGCGGTCGCGGTCGAGGTCGAGGCTGGATGGGCGGCGCGTGGGTCCCGCGTATCCACCAGGATTGCTAGTCGCAGATGATGGGTGCCAGTCGTCATCAAAGCCTGGGTTCGAATCGGTGTCGGGTTGGCCGTTGCTCGACTGCGACGGGGTGAGAATGGGCGTCGAATGTCCTCCCGAGTCGACGGAGAGGTGATGAGCGTCGCTGGAATCTGCGTCTCGGGCGCCTGTAGGAATCAGTGTTGCGTTCGAGGTCGAGGCTGGCGTCAGAAACGCAGCAGCCATGGCGGGAGGGTGGAGCGCCCGCAGCTGCCAGTTCAGGTGTCCGTGCCGTAATTCTTTCAGGAGCGCTTCAAATCTAGCAAAGCACCCATGACGCAGCCGAGTCAACCAGTTTCCCTGTCTTTTTCGTGTTCGACAATTGCGTGACACGCCAGTTGCAGATGAAAGCTGACGTGGGTTCGAAAGAACACGGGTCGAGGTTACGAAAACGTTATTGGATGCTGAAGTGTATAGCTGTTGTACGGGATACTCTAGGGGGAGAGATTGGGGTCCGCCATTGTCTTTGAGGTCTCAGGCAGTGCGACGCAGTATTAAGGTTCGGCATGCACGGTATGTTAACAGAGTTGGGGAGGGGTTGAGGCGGGCCCAGATGAAGGGGGCCTTATGTTGACGCGCTCCAGCATGGCCCTCATTGTCTTCGGAAAGGGGATTCGAAGACATGCAAAGTGCCGTGTTCAACAGTACCGACATAGGTACCTACCAACACACCTAGGTAAGGTAGGTAAGGTAGGAGGATGTCATGGAAGATGCTGTGGCCCAGGGAAAGAAGGGGGGGGAGGGGGGAGTTTCGTCCTTCTGGGCCTTCAGGGGTAGGTAGGTACTTTCAGCAGGCACCTCAGTGCTGGACATTGAGGAGCTCAGTGAGCGTGAGCGGCGTGTTGCCAGGCACCCAGGCGCTTGGAGGCTTAGGTAACCCAGGTTCGTGCCCGGTCGATGCCTACAGAGCACCGTAGGAAACTGCCGGCCGTCACCGATTCGGAGTGCCCCGCGGCGGTCCACTGTGTCCACCTCACATGGAGGACGAAGAGCACAATTGCCCCGCCATCGATCAATCAAGCTCCGACATAGGCCAACGTGTTTCGGTCTTTTTGGGGGGGCACTACCACAGATTCTTCCTCAAGTCGGTGCTAACGAGATTGAGTCACCAGAACGACGAGGCCGGCCAGGAACAGTCACGGCGGTCACAATCGCAATCACAGTCGCAGTCGACACAGTCACAGCCCCCTCACCCCCTCCTCCCGCGACAACGTCTCAACTCTCTACAAAGACAGAGCTGACCGCCTGCATATTCTCCTCCCCCACCCTTTCGACCAGCGCATCGCCTTTGTTCTGTAGTGCAACTCGCGCAGACGACCCCCTCCAGTCCGACGCCGACTAGCCTTCGAACTGCAGCCACGGATCGCATCCATTGGCCTCACCCCACCGTGTCGTGCTCTGTGCCTCGTACCCTCGACTCCATTTCGACCCTCGCAAGCCAGTCCTGCGAGATTAATACAACACACCTACATATAGGCAATTGCGCAACCACTTGTCCCCGGTGACACCCAGAAGGACAGACCATAGCCCCCCATGGATCTCGTCAACTCGTTGGTCGCACCCGCCCTCCCCTCCCCCCTCTCTATTCTCGTCGTCCACGCCGTGGAAGTCAGGCCATGATGAAGAAGGGACTAGAAAAGCTGATGGTGAAGGAAAGCCTAGAAGGCCGCCTCCTGTTCGCGGTGCCCAAGAGTGAGTCAAACGCCCTCCGCTTCTCCCGTCGTCCCCGATCGGCAGCTGACCACCACGCATCCAGAGGGTCGCCTGAACGCCGCCGCCCTCAACCTGCTTGAGGGTGCCGACGTGCAGTTCCGCCGCGAGAACCGCCTCGACATTGCCCTCGTCAAGAACCTGCCCATCGCGCTCATCTTCCTGCCGGCCGCCGACATCCCCACCTTTGTCGGCGAGGGCCAGTGCGATCTCGGCATCACGGGCTGGGACCAGGTCAAGGAGCACGACGCCAACGTGCGGTCCTACAACCGCTCGCGCCGGGCCTCCATCGGCGCCGGCGACAACGCCGAGGACCCCCTCAAGACGGCGGGCTGCGACCTCGTCATGGAGCTCGGCTTCGGCGCCTGCAAGCTCCAGGTCCAGGTGCCGGAGAAGGGCGGCTACGCGACGACGGAGGACCTCATCGGCAAGACGATCGGCACGAGCTTCTCGGGCCTCGCCGCCGACCACTTTGCCCGGCTCGAGCTCGGCCTCGAGGGCCAGCCGAACGGCGAGGACTTTGCGACGCCCAAGAAGATGCGGACCAAGATCATTGAGCTCAGCGGCAGCGTCGAAGCTGCGTGCGCGCTGGGCGTGGCTGACGGCATTGTGGATCTCGTCGGTGGGTGTCTTCCTCCTCTGCCTCCTCTGCCTCCTCCTCTTCTTCTTCTCCCTCTTTTTCTTCTCCCTCTTCTTCTTCTCCCTCTTCTTCTTCTCCCTCTTCTTCTTCTCCCTCTTCTTCCTCGCCTTGCTTACTTCCGACGCATCCATGCTGACACTGTTTTCACAGAATCGGGCGAAACCATGAGGGCAGCGGGCCTCAAGGCCATTGACACGGTGGTCGACTCGCAGGCGGTGCTCATCAAGTCGCGCAAGCCGTCGAACCAGGCAACCATCGACCTCATCACGGCGCGCATCCAGGGCGTCATCACGGCGCAGCGCTACGTGCTCTGCCAGTACAACATTGAGAGGGTGCGCCTCACCGAGGCCAAGAGCATCACGCCGGGCAAGCGCGCGCCGACGGTTACGACGCTCGACACGGAGGGCTGGGTCGCCGTCAGCTGCATGGTCGTCAAGAAGGAGATTGCCGTCGTCATGGACAAGCTGACGGCGGCCGGTGCGCAGGATATTCTGGTGCTCGACATTCACAACTCGCGGTAAGCCGTGGGCTGTGAGGCCCACTTCTTGGACACATGAAATCAAAAAGAGGTTGCGTACTGC